ATGTATTAACAACAACATTTTGAGATAAATAACGGATCACATGATGATTAAACAATCAATATCAAAGATGTGAGTTTTTGTTTTGACTAATGAAAACGTGTAGATTTGTCATTATCGTTATCAAATTTATTATTTATTACATTTGTGGATTTTTGATCAAATTCGAAACCAATTCAATTATTGGTAATTATCAATTTTATTAATTTTATTAATTTTATTAATTGATTGGTTATTATTGTTAATATCATTGCAAAATATCTTTCCTCCTTCTTCTTATGTAACTATTATTATCAATAAATCAAATAGATAGATGATTAATAGAATCAATTTGAAGAAAATTAAATTTTTTTTTTTTTTTTTTTTTTTCATAAAAACCATCTCACCAATAATATATACACACTTATCATCTAGGATTGATTGGTAGAAGAAATATTTTATTATATATAAAAAAAAAAAATCTATTAAATATTAAATACAAATAATATTTTTTAACCAAATTTAGATAATAATAAATAGATAACCATATGGTATTCCTGGTGGTGTCGAAGTTATATTTAATTCATTAGTTGTGTGGTGTTTCTATCATTTACGACAATCTAAAAGTGTAAATTAATAAAGTATATATACTTGACATTGGATTGATTGTGGAATTCTTTAGTTATTAAATTAATTGTATTAACAGCTGCACTTTTTTTTTCTCATCAATTTTAAATGTTTAAATTAGAATCGATTATTGCTGTATCAGACATTCCACCAGGACTAGAGAGAAAGATCAAAAGGTATAAAGTAGATCTTTACCATGTACAATTTCAACCTAAATATTTATCAATGGAGCCAATAAAATCAAAAACAATTAATTTATCGGTGTGACATTTTATGTAAAATGTTTACAATAACAATTTTACCACCTGAGCTTTTATTACCAATATTCAAATACATTAAAGATGATTATAAAACGCTTTACTCCTGTGTTCTTGTCAACAAACAATGGCACAACATTAATATTTCGACTTTATGGAGAAACCCATTTTATTCAGAGGATAGTATTAAAATTATAATTAATTGTTTATTGGTGGAGGAAAAGGACTTTTTAGTGGAAAACGACTTTGAATTAAACTTTAAATTGTTGGAGAAACCACCACTATACAATTATGCAAAATTTATGACTGAATTAGATTTTTTCCTAGATATACAAAATGTGATACGGAGTCTAGG